GGTTTATTACCTAAGCAGAACTCTGACAGAAGTGGAAAGAAAATATTCTGCAATTGAAAGACTTTGCCTAGCCTTGTACTTCACTGCTGTAAAGCTCAGACATTACATGCTGCCATACACCATCTATATCATTGCCAAAACAGATCTGATCAAATACATGCTAACAAGACCAATGCTGAGAGGCAGAATTGGAAAATGGACCTTGGCCTTGACAGAATTTGCTTTCAGATATGTTCCTCAGAAAGCTGTCAAAGGACAAGCTGTGGCAGACTTCCTAGCAGATCATCCCGGGGAGGAGATTGAAAATATGGACTCTTTAGACATAGCAAATGCAGATCTATTAACCAGAGCTCACACCTGCCTCAACAATCCTATCTATTCAGTTCATCTTGCACCTTGGAAGTTATACTTTGATGGATCAAAAACGGATATAGCTTCCGGGACAGGAATTGTTTTGGAAGAACCACTTGGAATCAGACACTGCTACTCTTTCCAATTGGATTTCCAGTGTACCAACAACAGGGCAGAATATGAGGCCTTAATCATTGGCTTGGAAATGTTGGTAGAACTAGGAATCCAATCTGTGGAAATTCTGGGAGATTCCATGCTGGTTTTAAAACAAATTGCTGGGGAATACAAGTGCCTAAGCCCTTCTCTAGCCGTCTACTTGGTGGCAGATTGGAATCTTCTGACAGAATTCAGAGAAGCCACTTGGGAACATATCCCAAGGGAAGAAAATTTTGCAGCCAATGAATTGGCTCTGGCGGCAACAGGCGTACAAATGCCCGAAGATTGTGTACAAAGAATCATCAGGATAGGGAAGAAAAGCCTACCATCTATTCTGACAAGACCAACTCTGCCCTATGAAAAGAGAATCAGAATCATGGCTTTATACTACCTTATGTGGAATGAAGATTTGATCCGAAAAAGTAAGGATGAGGTGCTTTTAAGGTGCCTCGGAAAGAAAGAATACATGAAAGTCATGGGGGAAACCCATGAAGGAATCTATGGAGCACATCAAGGTGGGAGGAAAATGTGCTGGTTAATTAGAAGATATGGCTACTTCTGGCCAACCATGATGAAAGATTGCATTAACTATTCCAAGGGATGTGAATCTTGTCAAAGACACGGTCCAATCCAGCAGGCTCCATCAGTTCACATGAATCCAGTAGTAAAGCCATGGCCCTTTAGAGGATGGGCAATGGACCTCATTGGCAAGATCTATCCAGCCAGCAGCACTGCTTTATCATTGTTGCCACAGACTATTTCACTAAGTGAGTAGAAGCCAAGGCTGTTAAATCCACTACATCTCAAGAGATCATCATTTTCATAGAAGAACAGATTATACAAAGATTTGGCATCCCTGAATCAATCACAACTGATAGAGGATCCTCTTTCATATCCAGAGAAATGCTGGAAAACGGGAGAGGCATTCAAAATCAGAGTGCTCCAATCCACGCCTTATTATCCCCAAGCCAATGGACAGGCAGAATCAAGCGACAAATTGATCATCAACATTATCAGAAAATGCTTGAGAAGAATCCAAAACAATGGCATGAGAAGCTGTCAGAAACTCTGTGGGCATATAGAACTTCAAAAAGTGAAGCAACTGGCACGACTCCCTATGCGTTAACCTACGGTCATGATGCAATTCTGCCTATGGAGATAGCTGTTCAGTCCCTCAGAATTGCTCACCAACATAACTTAGTAGGAGAAAACTACTCCCAGGCCATGCTGTTGGAACTGGAAGGATTAGATGCAAGCACAAGAGTTTTGAAGAAGGAGAGATAGTCTGGAAAGCAGTTCTGCCCCTTGGAAAACATGTGGCTGGTTATGGAAAATGGTCACCCACATGGGAAGGCCCTTTCATAATCAATCAGATCCTCGGAATGGGGGCATACAGGTTGCAAGATAGGGATGGAGAAATTCATACTGCCCCAATCAATGGCAAATGGTTAAAAAAATTTTATCCAACCATGTGGGATTTGCAGGCTGTACAAACAGACCCTGGGATAGACACAAGACTACACTAAAAATCTTTTGATTCCTTTTAAAATTACCTTTGTTCTAGAATTATTTTGAGTTTGTTCCTTTTTGTACTTCTACTTCTGTTTTCTGTTTATTTCATCAATAAAAATCGAAAACTAGAGTTGCAACAAAAATAAACTTTATTTAAAATAAATAAGCCGTAGGGCCTTCCCCATGGCAAGCTGTTCATAAAAAAGCGAAGATAACAAAATCAAAATCCTAATTTTCTGAGAGTCTCCTGCAGATTGGTTTTCTTGATAGAAAGTTCTTTTTGGAGCAGCACACCCTGATGAATTGAAGCCTATGCAATCTCCAAGGCTGGCCTAGAAGCCGCAACCATGCTCTGCACAAGGAAGGTGGCCTTGGTCTTGGAGCTCAATCCAGCCCCGAGCCTGTGCAGCACTTCCCGGCGCTCTGCCAATTGCTTTTGAAGCTCCGCAATCTGTTTCTCCAATTTGTCTGCAGTAGCTTTGGCTTCTTTATACTCTGCAACCATCTGGTCCAGTTCTGCTTTCTGCTTTGCTAAGTCAGCCAAGTTGGCTTCGTGAGTGGCCTTGCAAAACTTAGAGGTTTTGAAGGTGGGCCTCAGATCTTCATAACGGTCGTGAAGGTTGTGCACATCTCTTGCCAAGCCAAGGCTCATCTAGAGTATGGGTTTTGGGGCCATGTTCTGCCTGTGCAGCAGATCCAGATCCTTCATCAGCTGGTCAAAGGCCTCTCTGCCCTCATTCATCTCCAGTTCAGTAGACTGCCAGATCTTCAGTCTCTCCATTGCCTCTTCCACTGCCCTGGACTTTATCTTGCCTACAGGAGAGCTGAGCTTTTCCAACCTATCCAGCTGGGCATCTAGGTCCATGGCTTCAAATTCTGCCAGCTCCGGGTCAGCAAAAGAGGCCGTGGCAGATGAACCTGCAAGGGAATGAATAGGCATCTGTGGAAGGAAGCATAAGTTAAAACCAGGCAGAAACAGAAAAGAAGAAGACAAAAAGTACAAAAACACTCACAGCAACAATCGGAGGCTGCGAGGGGTAGTCCTCACCGCCAAGATCCCAGCAGCTTTTGGTATTTCTACCTGTAAAGGTTTGAGGGTCAGAGAGAAGAAGGAATAGGACAAAACCACACAAGATAGGAAAAGACAGAGTAAGGGCAGAACTCACCATAAAGCCAGGAACAGCGGCCGCCACTTCTACTACGGTTTCAGGAGCAGAAATCACTTGTTCTGCCTGCTCCCCAGGCTCTGATCCGGATTGCTCCTTCTGGTCCTCAGCTGTTGGAGCAGCAGTAGAATGTTCTACCTCTGGATCATCAAAAAGGGCCACCTCGGAGTTAGTTAGCCCTGTCCCTATATCTTCCTGCTGCTTCCGAGCCAAGGCAATGCTCTTCGCTATCACCT